AATTAATAATTAATTAACAGAATTAACAAAATATTATAAAATTAGTTTTATTAACTATGTTAGTTGAAAAAAGGTTTTTAACAGTTAATTAATAATTAATTAATAAAGTTAACAATCAGTTAACAGAATTAACAAAATGTTACAAGTTAAGGATTATTTTTTTTAATTTTAATAGGTGAGAGATTAAAAGTGTCATAATATAAGATAAGGTGATGGATTAAAACTTACAAATCTAATAAGTTTCAGCTTAACAATGTCATAATACAAGAGGAGTTAAAACTTTTAAACTTAATAAGACGAAGGGTTAAAAGTAAGGTTTTGGCCATGTTTTTGGGTAGGGATATCCGATTTAATCCGGTATAAAAAAAACTAAAAAACTAAAAAAATAAGGGTAAAAATAAATAAATAAATAAAATGATTAATCGGGTTAGGATAATTAGTTTAAATGTGTGATTAACAAAATTAATTAATTTTAATTAAAGTGAATTAATTATATTTATTGACCTTAATTTGAGGTAATTAAATTTATTTAATTATCTTAATTAGAGGAGGTTGATAAGTGTAATTAATTAATTTTAATTAATTTCAATTAATGTTGAATCGATCATCCAATTAAGTTAATTATCTTAATTAATTAATTTCAATTTGCTATTTTTTTAAAATCTTTTTCTAAAATCAAAAGTTATCCCTTTTAGTTCAATTTCGCACAAAACTTTCATGATTAAGTAATTTAGTCCATGGGTCTCAATTCTTTTCAAATCAGTCCTCCATGTTTTTGAATTTAATCAAATCAGTCCATTTAATTTTTATTTGTGTTTATTGTGCATGCATATTCTTGATTTTGTCTATTTCAGTCTAAAATTAAAAAAAAATGTTTCAATTTGGTTTATCTTTTGTTAAGTTTGCCTATTAAGACTCAAACATAAATATAATAAATAAGTTGAATTAAAACCCTAATGTTAAAGTATGCAACCATGTTTAAACGGAGGATTGTGAGATGCGCATATGCCCTTCCTCACTCTTAACCAAACCCTCGAACCCCGATCTCTGTACAGACCTCTTTTTAGGCGACTTGTCCCACCTTATAATTTGGACGAGTGGTGACTCCCCCCTTTTTATATTTTTCGCACTTAATGTTTTAAGTTAAGTGTGGTCGTCAACAGATTGGTGACTTTACTAGAGACAGAACCCAGAATCTCTGGTTTCCATATTCTGGGTTCACGAGGGTCGAGCTAAAACTTTAACTTTGAAGAATTTTCAACTTTTGATTTTTCTTTGTTTGTTGAGTCTTGTTGGTCTTTGTCATTTGTTGCATGTGCTTATTGTGTGGTGATTGTTGCTTGTTCGCTTATTGTTTTGGTGGTTGCTTCGATTGTTTTACTTTCAAGTAGTTATCTTGCTATATCTTGACATGCATCATACCTTGCTCACATGTTCATGCATCATATCATCTCACATGCTCATCCATCATTGATATTATATGCTTATTCATCATGCATCATGCTTACATGCTTACTAGCTTGTGTGTGGATATACTCACCTATTACACTTGGCTATGGAGTATTAAGTGAGTCTCTTCCCTCTTGCGTGATTAATTATATCTTGTTGCATGCTAAGTGTTGGTTGCTTTGTGCTACTAATCTTTTGCATTTGGCACGGGAGTACTAGGTGAGTCCCTTCCTTCTGTGTAAGTAGGCTTGTTTGTGGGTGATATATTTGTTGAGTGTTTTACATGTTTTATTTGCTTGTTTGCTTTATCTACTTGTTGTGGGATATATGTTGCTATTTTTGTGGTTGCCATTGTGCAGGTTATCGAAGTGTCATGCTCCTTGCACACACACTCTCATTTTGCATTAGGTCTGTGTTTGAGGTGAACTCGACCTCTAGTATAGAATCCTTACAAATCTGGCTTGGAAGAGCAATTCTTCTTGCTTTGAGGAGTAAGATCAATTCCCATTAAGTTGTTTCCATTGGTTAATACGACACTTGATGATGTAATATCATCATGTGTATTAGCTTTTGGAAATATCTCCCATTGATTCCAAAAGGATAAATGGTTGAGAAGGCCTAATGCCCTTTAGCAAAACATGTATTGGCCTTAGAGAGATACCAATCCTAGGACATGTTTCCCTTAACATCTCGCCTGTGAGGTTAGGGATCCCGTGTCCAAAACACAAGGGGCGTTTTTCTTCACTAACTTTGTCTCCACACATGACAGGTTTTTGTTTTTATATGCATTTGAGGTATGATTAGTAATTCATTTTCAACATTTAAACATCATTCTTGAGATTAGGTGCATTCCATGCACTTCGTATCTTCATTTTCAACCCCATACATCATTAAAAAAGAAGAAGAAGAAGAAGTTCATGATTGTTTCACATGTCATATATCCATCCTATTTGTTTTGCATTTAATCGTCCATGTCTTAAAAATTTCACGTGATGTGTCCATTGCATTGCCTTTTCTATCTAATGCATCACAAAACATGTTTTCATATTCATCTCATGTGACATTCTCCATTTTGTTCATTTTACATTTCATTTTCATTTTCATTTCATATTTCACAAAAAAATTAAAAAAAAAAAAAAAAAAAAAAATTCCACCCTTGTTCACTGCATTGCTTCTTTTATCTCATATAAAAAAGTGCACAAAAATATGTTAAAAAAACCTCATTCACATGCATTTCACACTGCATTTTCTATCTTAAATTTTCATTCCAAGCTTTATTATCTTTATCTCATACTTCCTATATTTCATAAAAGTTACATAAAAAAAATTTTAAAATGGTGAAAAATGAAAAAATGAAAATTTTATTTATAGTTCTTCATCTCATCCTTTTCACATTTTCAAAAAAAAAGAAAAAAAGAAAAAAGAAAAAGAGGTTCTTCCAAGATAAATTCATGAAAAGTCCATCTTTTAGACATCAAAATAATTTGAGCACACGGAGCATCATATCATCATTTTCTCCAAGCATCACACCATTCACTTTTTCTTCAAGCTTCATGGCATTCGCTTTCTTTTCAAAGGAATGAGATTTCCTATGAATGCCAGTTAAATGGATTGCAATAGTGAATCATCAACTTCTCCTTTGGAACTTGCTTGGCATACTTAATGAAGAAAAATCCATGTTCTAGAGTAGAACTTCACAACTTCACAACTTCACACACATTACCACTTGTCAGCATATTTATATTCTTGCATCCTTTATCTCTCATTTCCCATCCATGTTTATTTCTTTTCTTGCATTCCCAAAAATGCATGCTTTAGGATACAACTTCACACACATTATAACTTTAGAGCATATTTATGTTTCTACATCCTTTATCTCTTGTTTCCATCCACATTTATTTCTTTTCTTAGATTTCCTAAAATCTATGTTTTAGGATACAACTCTACACACATTACCATTTTAGAGCATATGTATGTTCTTTCATCCTTCATCTATTGTTTAGCATCCATGTTTATTTCTTTTCTTGCATTCCCATAATCTTGTTTGATTCTCTGCCTTCGACAATTGAAATATGGATTCATACATGGTCAAGCATGATTCTTCGTCAATCAAGACACCTTTTGAAATATTCATCCATGGAGAAAGTTTTGACCAACAAAGGATTGAGGAGATCTCCAATTGCAAGCATCTCTCTCCTATCATTCACAATTGCCAAGTCCAGGGGGCAAGCTTAGAAAGACAATAACCAAGAGCAGCCTTGAAGATCAAAAGCTCAAGCACATTGCACTTTATATGGCTCTAGCAATCAAGGGATTCTCCAAGGAAAGGAATGCCATTACTCATTGAACAATTGTACTTTGAAAGATCTAGGAGTTAGATTTTACTAGGGACTTGAATGCTACCATGTTGATTTACTTGGTGTGATGTACTAGGCTTCTACTTTGTAATGAATGACAATATTTGTAATGCATGTTGAACTACTTGTAAATGTCTTATATACAGCCCTTTTGAGTCTGATGTAAATCTCAATGCGTTCAAAGATATTTTGCTTCATCTGAGGCTCCTTGAGGATTGGAAATCGACAATGTGTGAATCCATATAGCAATTGTTGAAGCACTAAATCATGCAAATTTATGGGATGAGTTCTAACATTATTTTGACTTTGTTTATTTTTCTTTTACTTTTTGTTTGTAGGTAGGTTTCATAAATTACTTCAAGAACCAAAAAAAAAAAAAAAAAAAA